TTGCCAGCCAGGGTGCAACTCCATGACCACTCCCACGTCAAATCCAAGGAGACGAACAAGCAGTTATGGTTCATTTTATTGTGCGCTGCCTCGCTCCATAACCTATTTATCAGGTTTAAGCACGCTGCAGGCACTCCTAGCCTTTCTACTGCCACCCAGTAATGAGAGCTGCTGCAGAGAGCATTTTACCAGTGTCTCAGCCATAGCAAGTGTACTCTGACTTCAGTGCTACAATTCTAGTAGCACACGGTGACTAGTGGCATAAATAGCCCTTCTTTGTCATTCTGCTCTGGGCATCACGGGATCAAACATCCTTGAGGTTCTGGTTACAGGGCTGTGGAGCAGTAACTGCTGGAGGCAAGAGGAGGATTCCTGGCCGAGCATTATTCTGGTGCCAGCCACCCAGTGCAAACACATACTCTGCTCCAGAGAGTGCCTGTGCCATGCCCCAGCTCGGTGCCAGTAACCCTGTCTCCCATCCTGCGTGCAACATCAGTACCCACTGCAACCTGTTGTTGCCAGCAAAGAAGGTACACACTCGGCAGGCTAGTGCCAGGGCTACGCTAGACTCAGACTGTGGGGACCACATGCACCTCTGCTACTGAACATCATTACACTGCCCCCAGGCTCTACAGGCCATCTCCAAGCCTTACCGCAAGAAAACAGCATCCCAATGCTCCCTGCTCTTGCCCCTCCTACACGGCTGGTTGGGAACACGTCTCGCTCTGAAGCACCTGCGTGGTTGTTTATCAATGTGGGAGCTGGTGGGTCTTTAGGTTGGTTTGTCAGCAGGCTACACTGGTACCACAACAAACCTTGGTTCTGATCCACTGGGAGTTGATGTGCTTTAATCTCTTGCAAAGGCACCGAAGGGGCAGAGTCCGGCCAGCAGGATGACTGTAAGTACTACCTGTAGCGCACAATGCCTGGGAGAGGGGAGGGAAGAGAAGAAGAGACAGCATTGTTCCTCTTGCAAAACACCAAGGTGACTAGTGCCGGATTGTCAAAGGGGTTTAGGTACCAAAAGGTAGATTCACAGGTAATCACAGGAAATCAAGGAGTGAGAGATGCTGAAGAGGTGTGCATGCTTTCATAAATCCCACTGGGCACCTATCTTCCCAGCTTTTGAGTCTGGCTCTTGGGGTCAGCTCTCAAAGCACCAGTCACTATCACATGAGCATTACGTCTAGGATAAGATACCCACAGGTGGGGTCCTGGGGTGGCCACCACCCCAAGCACCCCCATCCACGGTTCCTGGGGCTGACTCTTGTTCCCTTGGTATGGGATCACCCATTCCCAGGCTGCTCCGCTCTGCTCTTGCCTCCTTTTCTGGGGCCAGGCTGCTCCCAGGTGCCAGAAGGCGTCAGCATGGCCAGGGAAGCTGGTTCCTGAGAGACCCAGGTCAGGGCCAGCTCCACCCTCAGAGGACATCATTTCCCAGATGGGCTCCTTCTTACACAGGTTATTACCTGCCTGCTGTGCTGGGATAGAGAAGCCCATGTCAGCACACCCTGTCCTCCAGCTCACCACCACCTTGGATGCCTGCATCCCACGACTGCCCTCTACATAGTTATGCTGCTGATTAACCAGGGTCATCATAACCAGCCCCACTCCAGGAAGCCTAATCAGCATTGCCACACTCAGCCCTGCAGTTAGAAATACCCACCTGGACACTGAAAACAGACACCATCACATGAGCTGTCAGCAAAGCTATTTGCCTCCCCCATTTACGCTATTAGCGAGGACCACTTGGAATTTGGATGCTCTTCAGTAAACTAATGAGCAACCACATCTACCTGCGGTAAAGTCCCTGACCCCACTTGGCATTGGTGATTTCACCACTAAGGGTTCAGGCACCCCCAGGCTTAGCTGTGGGGATTTCAAATATAGTGCAGAAAACAAGCAGTAAACTATCAAATATGCTATTTTGCAATTACTTGGAATTTTTTTTTTTTTTTTAAGTTCAAAATCTCTGTTAATTGAAGCTTTGCTGAGGCTTATTCACTAACCCACCAAAGTACACACCAAACTAAAAAGCATTCGTTTGGCACTGGATTACTGTTTAATATAAAATACCTGACTCCTTCATAAATAATTAACTTGATCATAGCCAAGATGCGAGAGTATCCTCTTTGGTATGTATAACTTTAAACAATTTCAACTTGTTAATTTCCTGACAAGTGCAATCAAGTGATAATGTAAGTGATGATATAAGCCACTTGTTAAAGTACAGAAATCTCTGAATAAGAAATTCTCACTTCTTCATTAGGAGCAAATGTTTTCTCAAAGTTAGAAGAATCAATATACTCTGCCTTTTGATACTGTGCTGATGCCTAGGGAATAAGTACCTCATCAGTCTCTTTTAGCTCTTTATTCACTTTAATTTAAGGCAGTGGCAACTTTCTAAAATGATTTACACTCCTTTGTAGTCCCACACATCTTCCCTGTCTTATGTCTGAATTTTTCTATCCATGTCTCTGTTTAAAGAGCAGCTATTCAAGGGGTAGACAGGAGCTACAGTCCTAGTAAACAAGGGTTTGAGTTATTAGTATTGTTTAATGATGAATTGAAAAATTAAGTACTCTAGGACAGAAGTGTTATCGAGCCATGAAATCTTGGCACCTCCCTTTCAAGCAGTGATAGATTAGCCCTGAATCTGTGTTCACTTCTGAATGCTCTATTGCTGTAAAAGAATGCATAATAAGAATTTCTTCTTGTTGTTGACTCTTTCTACATAAGAAGTGTCATTTATTTTGCTTGGATATATTTGAGTTTGCCTTGTACCATCTGGCAACCATATCTGCACATGCCACATTGTGCACAGAATTATCACAGAGTGTCCAACTAGATTTCCTCAACACTGGGACTAATTTTTATCATCAGAATGAATGTTTCCATTGTATGAAAGAAACTAAAGCAGCAGCCAAACCAACTCCCAGTTCACCTGAGCCCCAGTATGGGCAACGCATGCATTCAGCAGCCATCACAGCCATTCCTTTTTCTATCTATTCCCAGGCACTTACAAGCCGATAGGAAACTAACAACTCACACAGGCTTCAGGTCAGTCTCCTCAGTGTCCTCAACCTTTGAGAATCCAGTCCTGCAAACACCCATGTAACTTCACACATGCGCAGGTGATTTCACTGAGTCGAACGCTATGAGGGCTGTCACTCAACAGTACAGCCAAAGATGATATAAGCTAAGTACAGATGTTCAAAAACCCCTGGTGCAAGCACTCTATCACACTTTACTTAGAGTGCTATAGTTAGAGTGCAAGTGAACTGGACGGATGTTCGCTATTTGGTGCAGGGGGCTTGGAGCCTGCCTGCACTGGCCACTGGCAACTGTCAGCAAAGGTTGCGGGGAGAGACTCCAAACCCCTTCCCCACAGTCCCCCCCAGCCAGGCACTTTTCCTCTGCAGCTCCCCAGCGCAGGTCCAGGGTTGCTGCAGGGACAGGAAGCCCAGATCCCTTTCCTCCGCTGCTCCCCTGAAATAGCCAGGAGGGCTGCCCAGCTAGGACAGGCAACAAGGGAAGGGGTCTGGGCCCTCTGTCCTCGCAGCAGCCACCGCCCCACATCACACTGCTGCTAGGATCTGGCACAGATGTTCAATAACGTGTTCTAACAAAAAGCACATTAATCTAATACTTCATCCATCTAGGGTTAACTGAGAGTACGATCGCCATTTTTAAAGCAGTCTAAGAGCCGTGAGCGCCTGTTCAGTTACAGCTTTAGAGTGCCGTCTGCTTTCAGTGTAATGTCTGTACCTAGCCATAATCTTAAATCCTTTCCCCAGAAGCCATGGCTACAGTATTCTGTTTGTAAAATGCCCAAGACATTGCTGATTTTCCTTTTAAAGTGGTGGGTGAACACCTCATGGTTTCATAGTTGGTAGGGTCAGAAGGGACCTGAGCAGATCACCTCACCGCATCTCAGACCTGGGTTGTACTCCACCTCTATACACAGCCAGCCAACAATCCCATTACACAGTTATGCTTTTGGACGCATCCTTTTTTTTTTTTTTATGGCTGAAGTCTGAGGAGCAGATTCTGATCTCTGCTGTACCACAGCAAGCCTAAATTTACAGTGAGACTGTTGTGCCAAAGGCCTAGTCAATGAGCACAATAATAAAATGCATTAGCACATTTAGAGCTCTCTCTCCAAACAAAGTGATTTAGTTTAAAAGAAAAATAATTGCCCAAAAATGTAACTACCGGTGTTTTAGGGAAGGGTTTAAGAATGACATCCCCATGCATTTTAATAGTTACAGGCTGTTGCCTGCAAGTGTCATTGCTCCTTCTGTTGCAAACAGAGACATCTTTGAAGTGCCACTAGCTAATCTGAACTTGTCACTGTCCAGTGTGTTTCTCTGAAAGGATCATCTCAGCAATCTGAGCCAGCACATTCAGAAATCAAGAGCTCTAATTGTTTTTAAATGGCATAATTTATGACCACCCAAAGATGTTTCTATTATTATGGCAGACTGTTTTTGGCTCAGTCTACATCAAATTATGGGGTCAGATGTTGTACTTGCCTTTCAGCACTGCTTGGATTGCTTTCACAGGGGTTTATGTTTCTTCTTGATAAAGTGTCATATTTGGCTTTGAATTTGGAAAACAAAAACAGTTTTGCATAAAGAAATAAAAAGGTCCTCGTGTCTCAGAAATCAAAACCATTTGCTAGGAAATGAAATCTGTCTGAGATAAAGCTGTTGGCTTGCTCCTTGTACACAGGACAGGGTCAGAGCCTGTGTGGATGTGGGAGGAAACCTGTACCGTGTCAAGTGTCCAGAGCTTTGTTTTAGCTTTCGCCCAACATCAAGTCTCATCCCACTCAAGCAATCTCTCCTCCCACGTTGTGTGACCAGGTTTTTCCTTTCTAACCTCCCTTGTTCTGATACCCCGCAAACATTTGTTCCAGGAGGTAATCATCTGTAGCTTGCTAAGGCTGCATGAGTGCAAGGGTGGGTCGATGTACACAGGAAAGGGAAGATTCTCACCTGTATGAGTTCTGCCCAAGACCTTATGCCAGCAGTGAAGCAGGTATCAGCTACAGGTACTCTCCACACAACAGGCCGGGGTGGGGGAGAAGAGGGAAGGGTGTCTCATGGGTCCAGGAAAGTAGCTCCTGCCAGCACTCCCCCAGTCAGCCAGGGTCCCTGTGCAAGACTACTGTCCCCCAGCCATCTCTGCCTGTCTGAAGTCCGTTTTGTGAAGCAGTGCAGTATTTCCAACCTGAAAGATTTAAAATCGTGAGTCAGAGAACATCAAAACCATGAGTCAGACCCTCACTGCCACAAGCAGCACAGCTCCCACTCTTTCCAGCCACATCACTTCACTTCCTTTATAAACATGGGATGACAGAAAAAAGAAAGCTCAGAGAGGCTCAGGGCAACTCTCTGCCATAGGGGACTGTGCTCAAAAGCCATCCTATGGCAACACCCCTGCCCACACAGCCCCGCTCTGGACTTGTACGCGCAGAAGGCTGACGAAAGGAATGCAGCCACGCTGGAGCAGGGCTGGCGTGCTGGGCACCACACCAGTAAGCACCCTGAAGATGGCGAGACAGAGCAGCGCTGGGCATGCACAAAAAAGCAGTTGCGCGACATGTTTTTCAGCACTTAGTGCACATGGAGAGACCGGGTGCGGGTGCTTTCACAGCATCTCCCCTTAGCATTGTGCAGCACCATGCAGGCTTGCCCCAGACTGCTGTCTGACTTGAAGTGT